AGTTTTTAGCTTTGAGTACCTGCATAACCAACTTGTAGATACTTTTTCTCATTTTTAATTTATACATCTTAAAGCGAAAACTTCAAAATAAATGAATGTCAACTTTTGTTTCCAAGTGCAACATGATATTAATATAGTGTTTGTTAAAATTAAAGCCATTGAATTTTGTGCCAAAACTATTAGGATATACGTTAATATGGCACACGCTACCAGGCAGCAAGTTGAAGATTCCAAAATGTGCTTCAAAATCTTTAGAGATATGTCCTAAAAGGTAATATTTCAGGGTTATATAAAACATGGTCTTTTGTAACAAACAAATGATATATTTATTGGATTATGGTGTATATACGTACACTTTGGAATTATGTATGGAACAACACATTAGGTAAATGGCTGTCGGGGTGCCAAGGCTCCGCTAGGACACACATACTCTTTTAGTAAAATTTGTGATTACATGTCGTGGTATCTCGTTGATACAGCGTGTGATTTCAGCTTTCAATGCTTTGGTGGTTGCAGGCTTTTTGGCATAGACTTGTGACTTCAGACAATACTTAAGCCAAAAGTCCAGGGATTCGCAAGAGCCTAGCGGACAATTCTGGTCACCAAACCGGGAGATGACTCGACCAAGAGCAAATTCGTGCCAAACTGCTAATGTTTCAGAAGCAGTATGGCATGGTAGTAACTTTCCTAACATAGCTTAATGTTTCCTTATCTGAAGTATACTCACTACCGTTATCCGTTATAAGATTTTAATGATTCCAACATTAGGTAACTCGTCGTATTCCTTCTATGTAGTGTGTGGTAGGGGTCCTAGAATTTCGCCATATACTTGTATGATCAAAAATCAATAGTTTCCGAGATTTTTCAAATAGATGCAATGTTTCAACCGTCATCCCAAATTGAGCGTTTGAGTCTAAATAGGTATTAAAAACAACTATGTAAGAGGTGCGTCCACGGTTCGTGCTTCCTCTGACTGCGGACCACTGTCGTCAATGTCTGAACTGGACAGAACGGCAGCAATGGTTCGGGAGGCTATTCCCTGAGGTAGCCGATCACTCTTTCTCTTTGTTCGAGGCAATAATAGTAGTGCGCGTTATTTTGATGATGTCCTGCAAACCACTTAACTGCCGTATCTAGAGTGACGTGCACACCTCCATTTTCAGCAACACAACGCACGTCCCCATATTGCTCGTCATACTACGGACTTTCTTCAACAAGCAGGAGTTCAGGATTTCAATCCCATCGAACATGTGTGGGATATGATGGGGAGGAGACTATCTATCCACTTTGCACCATACGCCACAGACTCTGCTACAGTACTCCACGAAGTGGAAGTGGATGCCTAGACGTATGCAGGAGTGTATTCAGCTGCGAGGTTGCCCAACACATTATTTCTTTTTATGACTTGTTATTCAAATTCTGTTTCTGTTTCATTCTTGATGAACACCCCATATCCGAAAAACCAAGTTGAAGAAATTATTTTTTCTGGATGTAACACTTCCAAGGTCACTGGGTTTACATTGATATCTATCATATCAAATGCCTTTCTTAAGTCTATAGGCACCGCTATAACCACATGCCATTTATCAAAATCAACTTTATTACATACTTGGTAACCTCAAACTTAACAATTTTCATCCTAGAATCTAAGCATTGAGAATGATCAATTTACGGGTTTTCAGCCCTTGAATCGCTTATAACTTAAAAACTGTCGGCTTCTAAGAAAAGTTAGTGAGGATTGTTTGTGTCCAGATTAATCCAAAAAACCTACACCAGTTTTCTCAATAACAAAATAAAAGTGATCATGGAAGAATCAAGTCGTAAAGTCTTTGCCATGAATGTGAGGTTTTCTTCTCAATCCGGCAGATACAACTTCCAGACAAGACGATGATCAACGCTCTTCTTCTTTGCCTTTAGCAGTCTATGCAACAACGTTTATTACTGAAATCAGATGGATTTAGAACGGAAATTAGCAATTTGGATGAAGATTGAGCTGAGAGACTTCTTCTCCACCTTTCCTTGGAGAGATATTTGTTTTGCTGACGCGGATGCGTCGGCTGTCTGTTCATCGATAACCAAAATTTTTCGCGTTGGGGTGGAGGAATACATCCCTCATACAGTGAAAGCGCCTAAGACAGGGTGCAATGGCTGGATCAATAAATCGTGCGTACTTTGTGGCTGAGCATAAATTACGCCAAAAATATCTGTTATCACATACATCAAATATGGGACAAACGTTCTTATTCGCACTTGATTTATAATCTATATGGCTCAAGTGCTCTCGATTTTGACATACGATTTCAGGCTGTTGTGGACGATTCCAATCACTTAGTTTGCCTATCTCTCATTAGAGAACATTCTTGCTCTCATATAAAAGGAAAGATTTTTCGTTCGACAACTTATTGTGTTCCGATCTTACGTAAGTACCAATCATATTATTTACTTATCACTCTTCAATGACACGTTTGCTTTTGATTTTTTATCGCAATTGGAAATTAATATGAAAAGATCCCGCCGAGGCCTTTTGAATATTTTTGCTTCAATTCAGAATGTTATATCTCTCAACGCGTTGAAGAAATGTGTCAATGGACCCAAAGTTTTTCCATGACTAGTTTCCTTGATACAAGATCTATACATTTGACAATCCAATTCCTAATTGGTTCGTAGCAAGCTCGCGTCGACGCTTCTCAAACTTCTTATACATATACATATATCCTGATTGTAAAAAGAAAACGTTGAAAAGCATATTTAGTAAAGAAGGCTCTTTTAATGATAAATACCTAAGACATATAAGATACAAATAAAGCACTGTTTTATTTGACGACCCTACTACGTATTCTTAGAGAAAATGCAGAATTCAATTTTCTCAACAGCTACTCGAAGATAACGAAGCACGTAGGTCTATCCAAAAATGTCACCAAGCTACAGGCGCTCATCAAAGATGCAACGTTATTATCCAGGCTATTAGTCGAACACCCTGTATAATTCTAAATATTCAAGAAATGTATTCCTACAGGGACGGTGCAGGATAATCCTGAATGATTTTTTGAAAGTATGTGTCTCGGTGCATGCCAATTATTGAAGAAAGCCGAACAAATTAAAGGGTACTTCGAAAGTTTTGCAATACAGCTTTATTTTTGAATTTGTTCAAAGTAATTTCCAAGACAGTCAATACACTTTTTCATCCGCCAAAACCAGTCCTTAAACCAGCTCTACCAAGTTTCACCCGGGAGTGAAGCCAAGCCGTCAGAAGGTCCTCACCGCTAGAAAACCGTTTTCCATTTATCTTCAGTTGCACATGCTGAAACAATGCAAAGCCGCAGGGAGCAAGATCTCGACTGTAAGGAGGGTGCTCAATAAGTTTCAGTCCGGAAGTGGTCAACTACTCGGTGCAGGCTTTAACGCGATGAGCTGGAGCATTGCCATGGTGGAGGTTTCAAGTTCCCATTCTTGATTTTGGCCGCAGGTTTTTCATAGAATCTATGACTTTAGGCAGACCCTGTTCCGTGTACCACTGAACTGTGACTGTCTGCTGTGTGTCCAAAGCGACACGCTCCACAATCCTGCTCCATCTGAAAAATACATTTTTTACTTAACAGATCGGGATTTTCTGACAACTAAGATTGTGTCCTCATCATCAAAGACCAAAACATTGTTTTGAGCCTTGATCGGCACATCGTAATAATAGAGCCAGATCTCTTCACCTATTACGATGCTGTCCACATACCGAGATTGCCCCTGATCAAACATTTTCAGCATCTTTCGGCACCAAGTCGTCCTGCTCTGCCATCAGACTATGCGGTACCCAGAGAGAACAAAGTTTCTTTACGTATAAGAGATCATGCAGAATAGAATGAATTTCTGACGCATGAAGGTGCAAGGTCTCCTCTATCTGTTGTTATGTTACTCTCCGGTCTTCGTCAATCCCTCACAGCAATAATGTCTTTCTCTGTTGCCGCTGTTCGCGGCTTGCCTTTCCTCTCAGCGTCTCCCAGAGTGAAATTGCCCCTTTGGAATTCTCGGCATCACTTGACTATGGTCGTGCGATGGGGACAATCATTCTTTAATGCAAGCATCATTTCTTTTAGGCACTGGCCTATGCTTAAACTATGAGTAAAGTTAGAACGTAAAACTGTACCTACTATATCTCACTACGTGACCACGATCCGATACACTGTCAAGACGAATGAACAACTAAATCAACAGACGTGTTACCGGCGGCTACTATGCACTCATGGACATGTCTCAACACGTACTAACATGCAGCCTCTTGCATCCGTTGTTAAGTCATGTTACAAAACTTCTATAGTACCCTGTTATGTATACGAGTTTGTATTCTTTCACGGCAGTTTGGATGTAAAACGCAAATTTTTCCTTTCCTGGTATGTTCGCTTCGCCTGGCTTTCTCCTAATAACGAAAAGACAAGTAAATGTCATAGCTTGAAATCTTTCAAGTACTACCGGTGCTTCTGATGAACTAATTCATTTTTTTGGTATTTTAGAAGCATGAAGTCCTTGGTTGTAGTTGCTACTTTGGTTCTGGTGGCTTGCGCTTCTTCTATTAAAGAAGAATGGCAGCAATTCAAGGTAAGCTTAGAATGAAATTACTTTAAATCTGAACAAGACTTTTACCCGTAATCGATAGAAATGAACTCTATTAGAAGAAACATTCACAGATAAAAGGCTGATCAAAGCTCAAACAAAGACTATGAGTTTTTCAACCTAAAAGAGTCCTTAAACGTCCGGTCTAAAATTGCTAGTCATCAGTGAAAAAACAATGTAGCACTACAGCACATTGGTCAGAGGTCAAGTGCAAAAGTAGCGCTGTTGCTAAAATTTGCTACATTGCAGTGGATTGATAAAAACATATTGAAGTCGTTTAAATCACAGAGCTTCTGCACTACACCTGAATATGTACAGCACTCTATTCCTGTACTTGCTTCGTACAAACATGCATTATCAATATAATTACGATCAAACAGATATAATTTTTTCCAAAGTTTTCCAACTTTTTTACGTGCGATATGAGATGCTTATTGATATTTTTAACAGTATTTGCACCAATTATTTGATTTGTTTAATGGACAGTTCTGAGTCTTAATCCTTAAGCTAAGTACACTCTAGTAGACCCCGTTGCACAATTTGCCTATAGGCAGTCTGGAGACGGCCTCATGTCACGATCTATAGATAGTCTATAGACATCCTTCTTTGATTCGTCTAGCGTCCATACGATAATGTGAATTGTTCGGTCTCATGTTCGTTTCCACCATCAATGACATTGTTTTATGTGAATGGACTGGGATATGCATCGTCTCTAGACGTCGAGTGACGTCTATTCTCTAGGCGCTGAAGAAAGAAACTAAACCCAAACAAATACACGCATATTGCTCGTGAGTGAGTGTTTAGGCGCAGGAGACATTACAGGACCGCATCAAGATATTATGGGTAGTCATCAAAAATTTCATACAAGATAATTATTATCTTTTACAGTAAATTTCAGTTAGAGATTCATAAATGAGTTAACTACACTTTTTAGTTATTAGTAAGTAAGCTGCGCGCACTCATTCAGAAGAGGAACTTGAATCTTCTGAATCGTTTAAATGAATTATTAGAGGTTCAATTTGGGTATCGATGACATTGTCCAAATCCCACATTTTGACCTCAACCTTCTCCCGAACGTGGTGGATACAGTTTTTCCATTCCTCTGCCGTAACTCTATTGACTGCGATGTGAAAGAGATTTTTAACATCAGAAAATTTATAAGTATTATTATTCGACGCCACCTATTGCTTTATGTTGGCCCAAATCAGCTCAATAGGGTTCAGCTCACAATGGTAGGGTGGCAGTCTCAAGACAGTTTTATTTTGTTTTTTGGCCATTTCGTCGATCATTTTAAAATCGTATTTGTATTTATGTCTATTGACTATACTTATCAATTCACCCTTGACCATTGTTTCATCAAAATCGATCTGTTTTGAGGCCAGCCATTGTTGTATGTTTGCTTTTTTAGTTGCCATTGTGGGAATTTTTTCTATTTTTCTAGAATGGTACGGGGCATTATCCAGTACAATAACAGCGTTATTCTCCAGCTTTAGTAACATTTTGGAGAACCAATTTTCAAAGGAATTGCCGTCCATCTCCTCATGATAGTCCCCTGTCTTTTTTGATTCAAAGGCCCACAGTGCTTCGGGAACAAAGCCGTCTTCACTACCTACGTGACAAATGATCAGCCGTTTGCCTTTTCCTGGAAATAAATTATTCCTTACACTATGGATTGATTAAATTTGAAGGAATGAGGCAATTGAGTTCATTTAGCTGAATTTAAGAGTCACGGAATGCTGATCAAAAACTGAAAAACGTAGAAAATTGAAGTTTGCAACTTCTCAAAACCCATTCAAAGCAAATTGACTGCACCCAAAAATGATAATAAATTTCAAAATAACGCTTAAAAGAGGGTCGAAGTATTTTTTCTAATGACTACACTGCGAATGCACCATTTTTGGAGAATATCACACATTATCTGCTATCACAGCATATTATTTGCCCGAATTTATCAAAATTAAATTGCCGGATAGATGAAGGAGCTTACCTGCAGGATTTTTCAATCCAGCCGAAAGACCGTCTAGAAAAGCCTGCCTTGATGATGTTACTGATTTGTCGACCCAAACTTTCGCTTGAGTATGTCCAGCATTCACCCACGTTTCGTCCAAATAGTAAATTTTTCTTTTTTCATCGCGAAACTTCCGAATCTTCCTAAGGTATTCCCTTCTCCACACAACAATTTCTTCTTTCTCTATTAACATACTGTTTCTTCCCCGTTTCAAGAATCGAAAATTAAGTTCCTTCAAAAGTTTTCGGAATGTGGTTCTTTTAAATGATGGAAGATCCTCATCAGCATTAACTAATCTTAATATCGTATCTACTGTAGGTATCTCATTCCGGAAGAAAAAATTATGCACTTTCCTCCTGATGGCAGTTCTGTCAAAGTCATCTACTCCGTCCGTTATCCTTTTTCTTGCAGGATACGGTTTTGGCTCAGAAAGTGAGTGAGTGCTTCTATATTCCTTAATGATCCTATAAACACTAGACCGACATACTCCAGAAATATGTGCTACCTTACATATAACTTCGTCCACGACCAAATCGGGTTTTTCTTGAATTTGGTTTTTGTATATATTTAATATTATTTGTTTTTCATTTGCACTTAAATATAGCTTCTTAGCCCTTTTTTTGGGTGGGGTTGCGCTGATGTCAACCACTTCGTCGGCTGTATCTTTGTCAGACATCGTATCTTAGGCAATATATAAACAAAACGTTCCACTCGCGAAAAACGAGTATACGCTACTGAATGCGTAATGCGTATGCAATGCAATCCTGTGCGTGAATTAACTGTTAGATGCCTGTCGTGTCATCTACAATCACGTTTACAAGTCCAAACCTGTGCAGATTCGTAGAGCGCCGACGACTGCTAGTGACCTTGAATTTGTCTGTAGATCGATGTTACTCCAGTCAATTTAGGTTCAACCAATTTGTTGTTCCTACATCAAAAATATATCGATGATGTTTTGTACTGGGAGCTCATGAAAGATCAAGGTAACTTATTTTAACAGTCATCCTTTTTCTAGTCTCAAGATGACACGAAAAAGGGTCTGTGGATTCACTAGAAATACACTGCCGAGGATGTTTAGACCTAAAGTGACTGGAGTATATCCGTGGATGCTTTCGAGGGATCTGTTCACGTGCTGAACACTGTTTACGTTTAATGTCTTTCTTCAGCGCCCAGAGTATACACTGTCGGAATGTGTGAACGTATGTACCTTCCGATCGGCACGGGTATCAGGTATCTTAAAAATTGAGATTATATCGATTTTTTTTGTTTTTCTGCAAGAGGTTAACTTAGCCCTTAGTTGTAAGTGTAGCCTAAACTTCATGAGGCTTTAGTTATCAATGTACGTTTACTGGAGGTCTAAGGTGTAAGTTGTATGTGTTGATGATAATTCCATTGGATTCTTGTCTCAAAGACACTTAATCAAGATTCAAAGCTATAAATTAGTTCCGCAACCACTTTTTCTTATACCTTCTGGAATAGATCAGAAATAATTATATTCACTGTACACTGTGGAAGTACAAGCCCTATACATGCTAACAGTAATTACACACAACGCTGACGCGATGATGATTTCCCGTAATTCTCCGTAATTTATAACTTTGAACATAACCTCTCTTCAGAAAGCACAACATAAAGATAATCCGTCGGGCACAGTCAATAGATATACTTCATTGGCAGCATATTCAGTAATGATTTTGTCACAAAGCAAATATCACTGATTTTATACACATGCGGACCAATACACATAATGATCCAGATGCGATCTTGCTATTCAACCAACTTTCTTCTCAGAGATAAATACTACAGACACGGATCACCAGGCCTCACAAAACCATGCAACCAATAATGTGTGTAGCTTAGTTGAGTGATTCCTCCATAGATGGACGTTCACAACGATCCTATTGAGCAACCGTGGAATGACTGCACTCTCAAAAACTACCTAGTCTGAAAGTTGACATCTTACAGGTTTTTTTTTTGACGTTTTGTAGGTTTATCACACGATACCCGTGCGGGAGACTATAGACGTGTGATTTTTGGTCTCACATCAGTTCCGTAGACGGAGCTTGCTTTATGGACATGCCTACATAAACATCCTGAGACATGTTTCAAAGGCCAAAATCGCACAACATGTCTACCCGTTCTGAGGATTTCCGAGCGCTTTCCATGTTTTCTTTTTCGAGTTGGCATTGACCAGATAGACCCCATCGGATTTACGGAGCGACAATAGGATAAATTTTAGAAGTTCAATTTAGACTGCAAAATTATCAGCCCCAAATATCGTTTACGTCTCTCTAGACGAAATCCTAAATACGTCCTTACAATCATTTATCTATTATTATTGTTCGTGCATCCTGAAGTGGTTATTACGCAAAATGGTGAAAGTGTAGACATCAAATTGTAATCGGTGCTTCAAAAATTTCGTTGCGTGTTTTCAGCTGATCCATGGTAAGACCTACAGGAGTTTGGTAGAAGATAAAAACCGCTTCTCCATTTTCCAAGACAACGTGCGTATGATCCAAGAACACAACAAAAAATACGAGTCGGGCGAGGTGAGTTACGCTATGAAGGTAACACAGTTTGCCGACATGACCCAACAAGAGTTCTTGGATCTGCTGAAGACCCAAGGCAAAGCTGACCGACCAAGAAATGCCCTAGAATTTGATTCCACGGGTATTGAGACAAAGACTGCAATTGACTGGAGGAAAAAGGGTGCTGTGACAGCTGTCAAAAATCAAGGTCAATGCGGCTCATGCTGGGCTTTCAGTGCTGTACGTATATTTTGATTCCCTTTTTTTTTTTTTTTTTTTTTTTTTTTTTTTTTTTTTTATACTCCAACTACCACGAAGGCCTGAGGCCTAAGCACCCATTGGGTACCGTGGGGCTATGGGGGATATATGGGAAAGGGGGGACGCCACACGGACTCTGGCGAGGGAACACGTGTGCATGCAACATGCACACATTCTGGCTCCGCCTACGAGAACCGCCGGGTGGTACCTCCGCGTTCGACAGTCAGAGACCATCTACCACCTACGGACAATCACAACATCCATGGCCAAGAGAAACATTTCTCCTGGAGACGGGAATCGAACCCGCACAGTGCACGGCACTGATCAGGAGACCGAAGAGTCTACTACTGCGGCCACCGCTGCTGCCTAAAACAAACACACAACATCCATGGCGAAGGCGAGATTCGAACTCGCGGCCCGGCCGGCCGGCTGATCAGTAGCACGACACTCTGACCCACGCGGCCAACCGAGGTCCCTTTAAGCAGCTTGTTGCGTCCTTTAAGCGTCACGTATGTCAGCCCTTGCTTAAATTGGCAAAAAAACATTCTTCGACTCGTATAGCAAACGTCGATAGCTACTATACCTACAGGCTGGCCCAACGAAAAGGTCGCACGCACATTTGTGACTCTCCTGGTATATTTTGGGACAAACGCTCGGACCTGTCAATTTTGATTGGTAGGGGGACGACTTTTCATCTATAACCGTAGAATACAGGGTGATCCAAAAATAAGATATAGCGTTACACTATAGATTTTTAAATAGAAAGCCCCACATGTTTAAATTTTTAGATACTCCATGAAGTTTTTAGTAACTGTATAATAATGTTGATTCCTATATCCAATCTTTCTGAAGATATTTGAATTTATAATAAAATTTCACCATCGTAACTTAATGCTGATAATAATGAAATGTACGGCAAAAAATAATAATCATGTATACCAGCAAGAACATTTAGTATCAGTCAGTGTCATCGTATTTCATAGAAAAAATTTGTCTTTCATTTCAAATTGTTAAATTACCAACCTAGTTGTGATAAATATTGAACAATGACTTATTCAATTCACGAAAGCGTACAAATAACAAAACTGTGTTACCAAAATGGGAGCATTGCAAGAGCTTCTGCCCGGTTGTTTGATGCGTTACATCCAAACAAAAATATTATCGTAGCGCTTGAAAACACCCAGAGCACTCGTGTACTTCTTCAGGATTTACACGCTCAACAGTACAAAGAATTTTGAAAGGCAATAAATTTCACCCGTACAAGATAAAACTTGTTCATGTGCTTAATGATTGATTGAAGGTTGTAATTTTGCGAATTAATGTCCCAACGTTAAATCAACAATGAAAATCTGTATTATACGAGTACGCTTAGCGTGCAACAAGTTCGAACTTCACTATCGGCTGTATATCGCTCAATAAACTAGTAGTGATGGACGGAAAACAGGTGTTTTGGGATAAGCAATTAGAAATTCTCAAAAATTACTTGACCAATCTACTCCAATTTTGTTGTGGTTATTTAGAAGTACGAATCACATGAATTTGATGAATTTCGCTATTAGTCGAATCTTTTTGCATTTGGTCTCATTTTGTAGGTCTAATAAATACCAAAAAACGCTATATGAGAGGTATTTTCGTTCCCGGCAACACTTTCGATTTAATCCCAAAAACGTTTTCCCATTCTTTGTTGTCGAATAAAAAGTTTTCCCACCCATTTAATGCATCCATGTTTTGCATACCCCCTTGAACAACCTGCAGCAATAAAACCAGTCTTCAAAATTATTTCTCAAACCAGAGGTATTTTCGTCTAGTACCTGTATGATTAGGTAATTCCACTTCTAGAAAACAAAATATGAATTTTTCACTTAATAACATTTTCAGCCTATAAGAGCCATGAAACATTTTCAACTTTTGAGCTTATTTGACTCATCGGAAGTCAATGAACGATACGGTTCATAATCACTGATGCTGCAAAGTGACATGATTAGCTAGCGTCATAACTCTCTGTTCTGTTTTTCCGGTCAGGTTGGATCCATCGAAGGTCAGTTGTTCCTTAAAAATAAAACGTTGATCGATTTGAGCGTTCAAGAACTAGTAGACTGTGCCACAGGCAAATACGAGAACCTTGGCTGCAAAGGGGGGTTTATGGACAATGCCTTCGAGTATGTCATGGACCATGGCATTCAGAGTGACGAATCCTACCCTTACGAAGCCATTGCCAGCGAGTGCAAACGCAAAGGATATGCAGTTAAGATCAAGTCATTCGTTGACCTCAAGGACGAGAAAGAAGTCACTGCAGCTGTGTGTAAGTATTACTTCTACATCTGATCGAAAACCTTCCGACTTGGTAATTGAACTAATAGTTTCACCTTCTTCCTGTCACAGCTTCCAAAGGACCAGTATCTACAGCCATTGATGGTCTCGCCATGCGTTTCTACAGTTATGGAATCTTCGATAAGAGTAGCGGATGTAGCAGTTTCGAAGAAGACCTGAACCACGGTGTCCTGATTGTTGGTTATGGAAATGAAGACGGAGTTGACTACTGGATCGTGAAGAACTCCTGGGGAGCTGATTGGGGAGAGCATGGATACGTCAGGATTCAGAGGAATGTCAACGCATGCGGTATCGCTCTTTACAACTCCTATCCTGTCATGTAATTTATTATATATATATATATATATATATTGATAACAAATAAATTTTTGTTATAAATTTAGTTTAACCTAATCATTCAATCTCTTAGTAGAGGACCATCAAAAAGCTTCTGTTGGAGATTACGATCCCAGATACCCAGTGCATAAATGACACAAATTAGAAATGCAATGACAAAGCCTTGAATGTAAAAACGTCTAGATGTTGGTTGAAAATTGTTCTACTGGTTCATGATTGAGGTAAATACGTTGATGAAATTGCGTTGAATGATTTTGAACTGGGCTATAACAGGTCTACTGAAAAAACAAAACGCCTGCAGCTTTAGTGGAAAAAATGTTATAGCAACCTGGGGTTTCCTCCAATAACTATAGATTAGAAGGATGATTGGATCCTTGGGTGGGATGACGGTTGCTTATTTTACTCTTTCCCTCATATAATAATAACAATAATAGTAATAATAATATATATATATATATATATATATAACAAATACAAAGTATACAGTGTGTCCCAGATTCGCCTCTCTATACAGGGATCTCGCCTCCTGTCATAATGTCAAAATGGCAGAATTTGGTAGTAAATCCAAAACGGTTAATTTGACAGCTGTCGAAATATGACATTATTCGGAAATTTTTATAAGAAAAGTAATATAGTATAAAGAATTTTTCCCATGGTCGTCATATTGCATTTTTCGCTTTTCAAAAAGAGTGTAAAATTTACAGTCTAGGGATGTCCCACAAGTGCATAAAAGATTGGAATATCAACGAAATACCATCACACGTAATGTTATGTATTAGTTTTTTTCTAATGAGGCCATGATTTATATGGATATATGCATAAAAGACACATAAACGCCTTGAATTTTCAATTGAATATTAACGTTAATATCGACTTCTCAACAAGCCAAATGGTTTGGGACAAATTCCCAACTATCAGTGTGTTAAAAAAACAAGTCAGAAAAATCGTCGCAAATTTTGTTTTACACTTGAACAAAGAAACACTTTACAAAATTGTAATGTAATGTAAAATCTTATTATGTAAGTGGGTATTAATTTACAGATTTGCAAAATAATGTCCATTTGCTTCCAGACTAGTGTATTTCTATTCATGTTTCTAGCTGTGCTCAAAATTCTTTGTCTCAGGATTTCTATGGTAGATACGCCTCATTCTTTGTGTGACCCCAGAGGTAGAAATCCAAGGGTGAAAGGTGGTCTAGGAGGCCAAGCTATTGAACCAATTAATGAAATTATTTGTTCATCAAACTGCTCTCTTAAGAAATTCCTGGATCGAATGGTAAGCCGGACATCCATCCTGTTGAAACCAGGTTCTTCTAAACTCATCTTCCGTTAGGCTGGCTCGAAAAGCCGGCACAACCTAGTGTCGCAAAAGTTCTAGGTGCATCTGCCCATTTAAGTTGTAGTCAAACAAAAATGAGTCGATTTCCTAGAAGCGCATTCGCCAGTTCCCTTAAGTCCTTGAACTACTTCGCTGAAAATGATCGTTTTCCAGTCTTTGTACGTCCACATTGTCCATTCCTTAGCGTAAGCTGATCGCATTTTATTTTGTTTTTCCGTAAGCAACGGCTTTTCTTTTGTCTAAAGCAAATATTTTACTAAATAAATATGCCATATAAATCTGTATTTTGATTATGCATTTGCAGTAACCACTCAGAAAAATTTCGCCGTCGCTGGATTGCAGGCATTGCACATTTTGCCGATAGCAAGGATATAAAGCTTCCCGATTTAAAATTCTCCACGCAAGACTTTGGGAACACGGTAACTGGGCTGCAATCCGCCAAGTACTTTTACTACACAAAATGAATATCGACGTACACGATGATTGCGAAATTCCATTTCTCAACACTCAAAAATGGAACAAAAATTGATTTGACTTTTACAAAAAAAAAAATTGTAGTAGTAACGATAACAACCGTATAACACATAACATTGAGAAACTATCTTCCAAGAAACGTCAAACTGGTATCAAGGCCTCCTATTTAATTTTGAAACTAGCACGAGCATTTGGAAAAAAAAACAGTGGCGTACTGTTTTTATTTGGAAACATAATGCCACTAATCCCCTGTATCTCCTCCACTGTTGCAGCTTAGTTTTAAGTAAAGACTTTTGAATGTGGACAATATTTAGGTAAAATCCACATACTACAGCTGACGGTTTTGAAGATATTAAAAAAATGTCTTTTATATTCAAACTTCAACACCCTGTATTTTTTTAATGACGCCCTCGAGGAAAAAATGTTACATAGAGGAACCTCCTTAAAATGCGGTCCTGTGTATGATGTTTCATTTTTGGTCACGACTTGTGAATTACCCTGTG